TAGGGTCCGCACGCTTAACGTTACGATGACAGTTTCATTATGAGTTTATGTATTTTGATGTACCGAAGGTTGTTCGGAGTCCCGGATGTGATCATGCACATGACGAGGAGTCTCGAAATGGTCGAGACATAAAGATCGATATATTGGAAGCCTATATTTGGATATCGGAATCGTTCCGGGTGAAATTGGGATTTTACCGGAGTACCGGGGGGTTACCGGAACCCCCCGGGGGGTTATTGGGCCTACATGGGCCTGAAGAGAGAAGAGGAAAGGAGGCAAGAGGTGGCCACGCGCCCCTCCCCTTCCTAGTCCGAATAGGACAAGGGAAGGGGGGCGGCACCCCCCCCCTTCCTTTCCCTCTTCCTCCTCTTTCCCCCTTCTCCTTCTCCAACTAGGAAAGAAGGGAGTCCTACTCCCGGTGGGAGTAGGACTCCCCCTTGGCGCGCCCTCCTTGGCCGGCCGCCCCCTCCCCTTGGCTCCTTTATATACGGGGGCAGGGGGGCACCCTAGAACACACAAGTTGATCTTCGTGATCGTTCCTTAGCCGTGTGCGGTGCCCCCCTCCACGATATTACACCTCGGTCATATTGTAGCGGTGCTTAGGCGAAGCCCTGCGATGGTTGAACATCAAGATCGTCACCATGCCGTCGTGCTGACGGAACTCCTCCCCGAAGCTTTGCTGGATCAGAGCCCGGGGAGCGTCATCGAGCTAAACGTGTGCCAAGAACTCGGAGGTGCCGGAGTAACGGTGCTTGGATCGGTTGGACCGGGAAGAGGTATGACTACTTCCTCTACGTTGCGTCAACGCTTCCGCTTCGGTCTACGAGGGTACGTAGACAACACTCTCCCCTCTCGTTGCTATGCATCACCATGATCTTGCGTGTGCGTAGGAAATTTTTTGAAATTACTACGTTCCCCAACATAACCGACTATCATCAATCATTCGGAGTCTCAGGGGATACACCCTATGGGTGCGCTGATCATGCACCCATAGAGCAAAATCCCGAGTAATATGTTACTCGATGCAGGACCTGCTCCAGATCACTCAAAAAATTGCTATAAGGTGAGTTTAATGCTCCTCCGTGGACCTGTTTTGAGCCTTCTTCCAGGACTCAAAGCGTGAAACTCATAAGTTTTGATCTAGAACTGTCTCGTATTGACGTTCCTCCGGGATAAGAATGGCATCTCTATGAGAGAGCAGTCCATGCGTCAATCTTGTTGCCCATATTTAATGACACACCCATACTCTGATCATGAGTTAACCTCTTTCAAGAGATGAACGGCTGTCGCCAAGTTGCTCCTCGCGGCCACTTACCCCAGATCAGTCGGGAAGTGCAGTGCCAGAATCCATTGAGATTTTGTTCATACCTTGGTTGTTTGAAAGCACGTCCGAGTATTTCTGTAATCACTCGGGCCAAATTGTGTCTTTCACAAACTCGTTCTGCAAAATTGCAACCGATACGGGGGCTAATGTTGGGGATATACATAACAAGTAGGTCCACAAAGGATAAAAATATCATAAATCATGGGGTCCACACATCAAGTGGGTCCAGATAAATCTCATCCAGACATACTATCCACTCGGACGTATCGACGTACCATCCACTCGGATGACAGGCAACCACTCAGACGTATGACTCACTTGGATATGCGAAGACCAACGGTCGGCAAGGCAGTCAAAGCATCATCCTAGTAGTAGGCTGGCATTATGGCATCAATGCTCCACTTTGTAACATAAGAGGTTAGGGGTAGCACACTCTATATAGGCCACACGTAGCTAAGGGCCCCTGCTCTCATCTCTCTCTCCCTCACCACTAGTCTCAAGACTTAGCTCATGCATGGAGATCCGTTCTCCCCTCTCTCACACACACAATACACTTCATGATAGATAAAAGAAAGCCTCTCCGAAGCACGAGACGTATGGTTGTTATCTCCACCGTGAGAGGCCCGAACTCGCTAAAATCATTTGTGTCACCCGTTTGCATCTCGATAGATCATGCTCCTTTACCCTACCCCTTACTATTGTTGGAATTGTTCCCACGACAGTGGGAGGATGCAGCAATGAAGCATGACGTTGACCACGTCAGCCAGCTGGAGGTTCTTCTGACTGGACGACCATTTGATCCTCTTGATCAGTGCCTCCACCTCGTCTGGGTTCCCCCAAGCGATGCCCAAAAGAGACCCCATGAATTTTCTTTTCTTGTTGAGCTTTCTTTAGAAGAGTTGAAAAACCCTCAACACAGAAGAGGAATAGATACGATGATAGAGGATCACACTGTCGAAGCCCTCGATGAGAGGAAACTATCCGGCGCATCGCCATTCAGTTTCACCATAACCTTGCTGTCATAACACATCTCATGACCATGGCTGTCCATGCCTGAGAAAATCCAAATTGTGTCATCATATTATGCAAAAAAGACCACTCCACAATCCACATGATCCATCATGTCTAACTTAACCGCACATAACGGCTTCTTTCTTTTTCTCTTCCTTATCGCATGTACACACTCATACGCCACTAGGACGTTATCAGTGATAAGTCTCCCCTTGACAAATGCACTTTGTTCCTTAGAGATAATAATGGATAGAACACTTTTTAATCGGAGAGTGGCGTTTTGGCTCCTAGGTGTAGATACACCTATTATGAAATATGTATAAAAACACATTTCGAAATTTAAAAAAAATTCAAGAACTGGACATCCTATGTGTGAAAAATTAAAAAAAATGCCTCATGAATAGCTATAATCAAGCATCAAAAATTGTCTTTTTTACACAAACCAAAAATGTCCCTTTTCTCCGAAACTTGGTGCACCCACATATAATGTCCGGATTTATACGTGTGATTTTTTCTTAAATTTTTTTAACTTTATAAATTTTGTATTTAGATAATGGGTGCATATACACCTATGAGCCAAAGTGAATTTCCGGCATCGGTTAGCAAGGACCTTGGCCGCGCCCGCAATATTGTATAGGACATTGCACAGACTAATTGGCCTAAACTAAGCGCGCTAATCGGATGACTGTGCAGTAGACCGGCCCAAAATTTATGCACTTCCCATGAGCGTGTGTGTGTGTGGCTGCTCCGTGTGAGTCAATGGCCCGTGGCAAGCATGAGCGATTTCGTCGGCGGTCCACTCTTGTGTTGCGCGTGAGTATTTTTCGTCTGATGTGCCACGACCGGCTGGAAGCTGCGTCCGACCCAGCCAGCGCCAACAAGGAAGCCTCGGTCGCACCTTCCTTCCATCCATCCTCTAGGCCTCGATCGGTCACAGTGCTATAAAAATCCCATCGTTCCCACTCACAAACCAACCCAACACCCGGCGGTCCACTATCCAGATCCAGATTCTCTATCCTGACCCTGCTCCTGCGATCCCCAACCGACCCTGCTCCTGCGATCCCCAACCCCAATCCAAGGTATGCGTGCACCAAGAACCGTCTCTGTCCCGTTTGTAGATCTGCCGAGGACCGCGCTCTAGTTTCTTGATCTGCAACCTTTTTCATCTCTGTTTCGCGACGCCAACTCACGACTGGATCCGGTCGCTGGTCTCTGCGTGGTTTTGATTTTGATCCGACCAGGAACAGACCAAGAGCAACAGGGAGACCATGAGCGCCATGGTCGCGTCGTCGCTTAACCCGGAGGCCCCGCTCTTCATCCCGGCAGCGTTCCAGCAGGTGGAGGACTTCTCACCGCAGTGGTGGGACCTCGTCAAGTCCACCGCCTGGTTTCGCGACCACTGGTACCACCAGCACCAGCAGCTCGACGATATGGTCGACTCCCTCATGGCCTTGGAGGCCGAGGACGCCATCGCCGTTGAGGCTTCGCAGCCGCAGCCGCCAGCGGCACTCAAGATTGGTACGTATCGACCAATTCACTCTCCACGCCTATACATGTACAGTACTGTATATGATATGAGCGCTCAAGTAAAAGATGAAGCAAGACTGCAGTGAGCTCATCACGTATGTGCTTCTGTATGTGCAGACGGGGTGCTCAAGGCGCTGAGCCTGGCGTCCCCAAGCCCAAAGGGTGGCTTCTCGGAGAAGCCTAGGTACACCGAGAAGCCCACCAAGTACGCCGGCAGCCCGAGGAGCGGTGGCGCACCGCGCTTCATCCACCAGCCTCGCTAGGTTGGGATGTCAAGCTTCAAGAATCGAGCAAATCCTGCGCCTGCAGTGATGCATTGCTCTGGCTGCCGCCGCCGTCTCATCTTTCAAGTCTTCTTCTACTAGTAGTAAGTAGTGGTGTCCGTTTGTATATTATATTAAGTACGTAGAAATGAAATGACCTAAGAAAAAGGCAACAAAATGCAACCGATGTTCAGTGTGATTTGCCTTGCAAGTTATGTTCTGCTCAGTGCGTGTGATGGTTCAGCCTCGTTCGCTCCTCGCTCCTTTTTCACCCCACGTACGTCAGAAAAAGGAGCCAGAAAAAAGAGGAGATAAAAAACAACCCCGACCCCACGAACACCCCGTCCCATGATCCAATCTCCCCCGACCCCTCCGCCCTCGTTCAACCTCCCCTCGTACGATAGAGGAAGGAAAAAAGGCGCCTGCTAGGCGTCATCCGGCTTATAACTTGCAGTTATAAGCCGCATTATCTACCGTCCGATATGATTAATCAAGGCCATCAGTTTGTATCCCCGCATCACAGTACGTCCACAGCCCCGCGACATTAACTGATACAAACCGTTCAATGGCAGACGCTACCGAGATCAAAGCAAGCAGCGCTTGCCGTCGGCCGCATGCAGCACGGTCGGTGTCGTGGTGGAGCTGCAATGGAACAAGATATGATTAATCAAGGCCATCAGTTTGTATCCCCGCATCACAGCACGTCCACAGCCCCGCGACATTAACTGATACAAACCGTTCAATGGCAGACGCTACTGAGATCAGAGCAAGCAGCGCTTGCCGTCGGCCGCATGCAGCATGGTCGGTGTCATGGTGGAGCTGCAATGGAACATCGCCGGAGGTCGCCGCTGCTGTAATGGAGCATCACTTGGCTGATGGTGCCGTGGTGGAGCTGCAATGAAACATCACTGGGGGTCGTCGCTGCTACGGTGGAGCGTCGCCGGACCGTCGATCCGTGGTGCTGTGATGAAGCATTGTCGAACCGCCGACGTCGGCGGTGCTTCATTGCAACCTCGCCGGAGCTTCCAACGACCGCCGCGACGCTTCACTGCAACCTCGCCGGAGCTCCAACAATCGTCGTGGCGCTTCATTGCAACCTCGCCGGAGCTTCATTGCAACCTCAGCCGTGCTCCATGGTAGCACCCCGACAGCCACCGGCGAAGCTTCATTGCAGCGTCACCACCACCACGCGTCCGTGCTCCATCGCAGCACCGCCGCCCGCCTGCCCCGTCAAAGCTCCACCGCAGCACCAGACTGGTGCCGCCGAAGCTTCACTGCAGCGCAACGCGATGGCGTCGAGGTGCTGCGGCGAATCAGGCGACCGCGATGGCGGATGTTGTGACACAACAGTGCGGCGAGCCGGCGACAGCGATGCTGCGATGCAGACGCGGTGGCGACAGAGCTCTCGAGGCCCGATGTTGTGATGCTCCTCTCCTCAACCTCCCCACTGCAGCATGTGCGGCGAGTGGTGACCCGCCCCCAACACCATCGTCTTCTGCAGCTTCGGTGGCCACACCGTACCGTCGCCCCCCTTTGGAGCAGCGATGCCCCGCGATGGATCTCTCACATGGGTCCTAGGATTTGTGTTGGAGCTTCGCCGAAGGGAGAGAAGGTGAGCAGGAAGGTTGTTGACGCCGGCGGCATGGCTCCGGCGGTGGGTTGGACGGGATTGAGGGGTGAGAGAGAGAGGGAGGAGATGGAACAGAGAAGAGATGGGGATGAAGAGAAGCGCTCCAGGGAAGACCAGATCCTTCGGCAAAGAGATAAGATGGAGGACGCGTGGGCATGTGGGCCTGTGAGACACATGGCGTGCCGTGAAGGAGGTTTACGAGAGATAGAAATCACCCGGTTGATTGTAAACGTTTTCCAGAAAAAAAATCTACCGAAAACATCGCGCACCAAACCGACGCAAAAACAGTGAAGAACACACGTCCTCCACCTTCTCCCGGACCCATTCTGCATCTCTTTCCCAATCCCGAACTACCTGGCATCCGTCCTCGCTCGCACCCCCGCATGGAGGGCTCACCCCGCCCCGCCGAAGGCCTCGTGCACGGCGGACACCTTGGCGATCGAGCTTGCGGGGGCGGCGCCTCGGGGACGGCCCGGTCATGCGCGGCAACGGCGCCGGCGGCGGGGGGTAGCGGGCCACGCAGCAATCCATCTGGTAAACCCCCAATCTATTCCTAGCCACAGCCGCAATCCTGGCATCTCCTTTCCGGAATCGCCTCCACGAAGAACTTGCCATTCATGCGCGACGCCTTCATATCCATTGGGTTGTTCCCCACGTTTCCACCTATGCTTGCCTCCTAGCCATCGTCGACCATGAAGCAGCAGCACAACGTGGTCGGCGGATTCCGTCCCCGTGGTCATTGGAGGAGCCGTGCCACCTGTGACCAGCGGTCTGGGACGTAAAGCCGTCTGTGGAGGCATGGAGATACCATGGAGACGTACTGGAGACTCCAGGGAACTGGACACGAACGCGGCATGGATTGTATTGTGCCATGTCGGCAGCAGTACGATGAGGGGATTTGATTCCGGCGAATCACGGGGCCACGGTTGCAGGCCCAACGCCCCTGCTTCGCTAAGCCCATCGACTTTGGCACAGCAAGACCCAGCCATGTCGCCCATACCATGGTTGCCTGAATCATTGGTGGGTTCATGCTCCAGGAGCATGTGATCCTGTAGTTTCCTCCCAGCCCATGGTCAAGTGCCCATGAAGGAGATGACCAATATATTGTCACAAAAGTGCCTTGGTTAAGTCAATCTATCATGGTGCCATATTATTTTGTAATTGTCGCTGCTGATTCTACTATTCAAGTGTAATTTTGTAATTACGTGTTTTCTCACTTCGCAATATCTCTGTTATCTGCTCCACTAAAATGTAGGGATTTCATTTACAAAATTTCTGCATATTTCTGAAAATAATGAGAAGTCCATTTCTCTTTGGAGCACAGATGAACATTACATATTTTTGAAATTTCTGGGAGAAATCCTTGCATGAATGCAACAAGTTAGCTCCTAAAATATAACACTAAAGCTTATCAAAATTATAACACTATGCTCATCCATTAATCAAAATATGTATTGAACCATTTCGATGTTGTTTTTGTTGTATCTTGATTTCTTGAAAATATAGATGTAACATACTATTAACAACCAAACAAGTAACTTTCTCTCACGAAAAGACTAATGGACGTAATTTGCCAGGAACACAGTTGTGACATACACCAAAGATGAAAAAAATGATTGATGCGCTTCTTAGGAGAAGAAGTTAGCAATTTATATTCCACTTTTTTATTGCACGTGGTAGTTGGTTAAAAGATTTGAAGTCACCAGCACGGTACTGGTAAATGGTTCCTACATTGCGGAGATGAGGTTCAGTTTGTGTCTTTCTTCACGTGTAAATGATAGATTTGCTTGATGTGAGAAAAGTGAGTTTTTTTTTAAAAAAAGTCTCTTTGAATTTCTCATAGGCACATATTTTACTTGTTGATAATTCAATTAGGGATCCTCTCATGGTTGTTTTATAAGTTGTAATAGTGTAATAAGTCATATCTCTGTGTTTAAAATGTGCAGGTGGAGAAAAATTCACAGGACATGACCATTGCAGGAAAGTCATGGGTGTTCGGAACACAAAGAAGTTCTAAATATTGCAAGTTGAAGTTTTATCTATGCTGCTCGGTATTTTCGTTTTCAATTAACACTCTACGAATGATATTTGATGCTTATTTAAATAACTGACATGTATGTACTATGACATTCCCTTAGCTCGTGCTCTTGGTTTTTCTCTAAATCAATGTTTAAGTCAATGTGTATACCTCCTACAAAAATGATAAGTACATGTATGAAAAAGAGAGTATGAGAGACAACAAGATATTCCCAATCCTGGAAGGTAAGATATTCATGGCAAGATACTCTCAAGTAAAGATAAGAGCATCTTATATTCCGCATAAACAAATGCAATTAAGCTTCCACCCTCTCCGTGTATTCAACGTAAGGTGTTAACGTGTTAGCTGTTGTGCAAGCTATAGTTCTCTTTGTTTGACTAGCTATGTTGTAAGTCGATTATGCTATTACCCCAACAATGGAGAAAGATATGATTCTGGGAGAAGGGAATTGCTATGCATGCTGTTTTCTAAATGATCCGTCTGCGGCTTCTTGCAGGCATAACTATTGAATCTCTTCAACAAGTTTTTTAATGCACTCTCGGCAAGTGTGCATTGTTCCCCCTTTTCCCAATATATACAAGGTTACAGAAGCCATTCTTGTAACTGATACCGTACAGTTTGTGTTTGTTTGATTTCGTTAGCTACACATTGTATTTTATTATTCTTTACGTTTCTTGCAGCCACAAAGTGTTTACGTACTCCCTCCGCTCCTTTTTACTCTGCATATAAGAATTGTCTGAAGTCAAACTTCATAAAGTTTCACCATATTTATATGAAAAAATATTAACATCTATAATGCTAAGTTTATACAATATGAAAACTAAAGTCATGACGCATCTAATGTTGTTGATTTCACATTCTGAATGTTGGTATTTTTTTCTATAAACTTGGTCAAAGGTCACAAGGTTTGACTTCAGACAAATCTTATATGCAAACTAAAAAGGACCGGAAGGGGGTATTAGTTTCATTTCCTCTGCTAGAAACCATATTCGTTCCTTCTACATTTTCTGGTAGCTACAGAAACGTTATCTTTGTGGCACTCATAAACTAAGGAGAGACACATATTGACATTACACAACGTGCAGTTTTTATTATTTGTAAATAAGAATTTTAGTACATCATCCTCTATCATGGTAGGTTAGAATAGTTTCATTTTCATCTCCCACAATACATGATGAATGATTCATAGATTTACTAAAGGTCAAAAGGTGTCCAAGCGGTGATAAGGTATGGTTGTAGTGACGATAATACTGGAGCAACTGCAGTTGAAGAGAATGAAGGCAGAGGAGAAAGATTCCGCTTTATCTTTTGCGACAACCGACAAAAGAGTGGATAAGGGGATATGACGTCTGCCTGGAAGAAATAACTAGGGAAGAGACTTTGTATTGTTGCTAAGAATGTCGCCATATTTGGGAGATATTTCTACATTATCAAAATTGTTTTGTTAATTTTTTTAATTCCGTGTCAACGCACGGGCATTCGACTAGTAGTACTAGAATGCACCCTTGTTATTGCGTGGCCAAGCAGCTTAATTTTAATTATTGTTTAGCCTTTTCTAAAGATAAAGATGCGTCGCTGTTGGTTGTTGAGATGCCATTCTCTTCTGATTTATTGTTGATTGATTGCTGCCATGATCTCCATGGGAGTTCAGAAGTAGCTGGTGCTGGAAGATGACAATATTCAGTTCGATTGGTTTATGACAAGTATGGTGTTCAGCTCAGCTATATACACTGATTCTCAATGTTGGAACGTGCCTTCAGATTCGGCAGCCATGGCAGCTGTTTAGCTGCGGGTTATAGTTGAGATTTTTTTTTTTTGCGAAACAGGTTATAGTTGAGATTGTGCCCTGTGTTTGTGGGCTAGCAGATAGGAAACTGAGATGGTAATGCATATGATTTTAGCGTGTTGTAAAACTTGTATCATACCGCTGAATAAAGTTTGTGGGCTACCAAATAGGAAACTGAGATAGTAATGGATATGATTTTAGCGTGTTGTAAAACTTGTATCATCATGCTGAATAAAGTTTGCACATAAAATGCATTCAGTTACATATATAAATTGGTTTGTCTGGCATACATAGAGGCGGAAACCCCAGGCCCTCGCGTCGCCCGACCCGAGCGACTCGGGGGAATCCAGCCACCGCCGGGCTCGGTACCCCTCGTCCCGCCCACCTCCGCGTTGCCGCCGCCGGAGGGCGCCGGGCCTTGGGACGGCGGCGGGGCCGTTCTCCCACTCTCTCCCATCGCCCCTGCCCTCTCAGATCCGTTCCTGGCGGCGGCGCGGCCTCCCTCGGCGGCTCGCTGGCGGTCTATTCCCCGGCCAGCTGCTGGCGCGGTTGGTCTCGCCCTGGGGCGCAGGCTGCGTCGTCCCGGCTCATCCCGATCTGGCCATGGCCTGGCGCGGGCCGGATGGCCGCAGACCGCAGTTGCCTTCTTCTCTGACGCGTTGCACGACGGCATGGGGGCCTGCTAGTTTGCTTGTCCAAGGGACACGGTCCTAGCGTTCTTCTTGATCTGAGATGGTGTTCTGCTAGATGCCGACCCTCTATGATCTGGCAATTGACGAGTTTCGGAATGCTCCGTCGGAGATTTTTATTGGGTGCTTGACGCCTGTAGATTACTGGATCAAATGGGATTCGGTCGTGTGCGTCCCTATTTCAGCCCGAGTGGCTTCAGGAGGGTGTGATGCGAGAGAACGTATCCTGTGCAACGACGAGACTGGTGTAACGAGTGCTCCGAGAAATTCTGCGCCACTGGATGCGGAACCAATGGCGCAGAATCGGTCGGAGCACTCGTTACACCAGTCTCGTGGTTGCACAGGATACGTTCTCTGTGATGCGAAGGCGAAGCTTCGTTGTTTATTAACATTATGGGACATGTTGGCATTTCGATTTCCATTATGAAAACAGTGGCGAAGAATGTTATGGTGGCTGAAGTCTAAGGCCTAGTAATGGCGGATCTAGTCTTTGAGGTGGTGAGGACTTTGCTAGATGATTCGTGACTCGTAGAGGCGGCATCAGCAACACAAGCGGAATACAGAACTCAAAGTCTGCCCTTAATTGGTTGTTTCTGCTAGTGTCCTTGTTGAAGGTATTGTTTAAGAGCGGGATTTTCTCCAGGGGTGAAAACCTAAGATCTTCGGTCGGACGATGACGACGCTTGTGCACTGTTTTCTTTTTGGAGGCATCTCTTGTGGAGAACTTGGACTTAGGGTGTTGTTTTGGTGGTGGTTCGTGCTGCAGCTACAAGAAATTGATCACTATAGTGGGATCTTTATTTTTTTTTATTTTTGTCTTTTGGTTGTGTGCATCTGTAATATTTTTATGACATTTCGATGTTGTAGGGGCTAGGTGTAATTGGTATCTCCGTGATATTAATATATTCTCTTTGTCAAAAAAAAAATCTGGCATACATAGAGAATGGCATGATCATAGTAGATACAAGAGGGTAATAATAAGTCTTGTGCAGATACAGAAGTGTAGGATCCCAAGTCTTTGAAATTTCCATGCAATAGTTGGGTGAATGGCTTCCTCTATTCGATTGTACTTCCTCTGTAAACTAATATAAGATCTTTAATAATTGTTTTAATGATTTAAACGCTCGTATATTAGTTTACGGAGGGAGTAACAATGAGGGTAAGCTGGGAAAACAGTTCGGATACAGGGTTTGTATATGAATGTTGGTGGACGAAATTGAATAGAACATTTCATCAAGTAAATTAAGATACTACCGTTGTTTCATCAAGCAAATTAAGATACTACTACTCTGTACTCCTTACACAAGTATATCACGAATCTAATGGGGGCAGTCATCCAATCTTCCAAAGGCTTCATAACTTTTGCTTCTACGCATCCATTCCCAGAGCCCATTTAGCATGCTGTGTGCGCATATGTGTGTGTGTGAGCAAGCCAGCCGAAACAAGGAAAAAAAGGGGAGATCAGCACTTCTCACC